TTTGCCCAGGCCAGAGATCCCGGGCCATATAGACAAGTTGCCCAGGGCCCAGTAGAGGAACATGCAAAAGAAAACAGATTAACTCGGGGCATTTCGTCACACACGTGCCCTTTACGGTTATCTGACAAAATACCCCAACTTTAGGGGCATTTCAACACTTTTCTCAAAGAAAAAAGGAAAATTGCATCTGTACTCACCTGCAGATGGTAATACCCACTACACCCACTTCCCATGTGTGGAATTGTTGGTGTACGCAATCCCACACTACACCCACTTCCCATGTGTGGAATTGTTGGTGTACGCAATCCCACACGCCCTCGGATCTTGACCACGACATTATACCCATGCCCACCACAAAGGCGTCTGTGTATGAGCATAATTTCAGCCTTCCGGTAGACGGGTATGTTAATAGTTTGGGCCCCACCTCAGGTCACCGGTATGCCCATAATTTTGCCTAGGTATGTCCATAACACGTGCATTCCGGTAGTTTGTTATGACCGCAATTTTGCATACCATCCTAGCTCCACCTCCGTCCGGGGAATGCAAACAATTTCCAGAAGCCGTTTTCTGGATATAGATTCGAGTTGGCGCTTGGACTGCGTACACACGGTGTCATTTTCTGAAAAAACACAAAAGTACGAAACTACTGAATAAAACAACATTTTGCTTACCTGTGCGCGCATGTCCGTGCCTCCTATAGCCACAGATGGGTCATGACAGGTCTGCAAACTCCGGCATTTTTCGTTTATTCAATCTCCAAAACAGTGAAAGCACTTCAGCGAAACAGTGAAAACTCTCTAGCGTTTTCGGTGCGTTTTTACATACTTCGTCCTTTCCGGTCCCTTCAGTCACTCACCAGGTACATTCATTCATGGACCAGAGATCTCCGCACTTTCGGTTCATACACACGATTCCCGCATTCGGTTCTATCCTAGCAATCCCCCGCACTCATCGCCCGGGCGGTCAGGCACGGCCGAGAAATTGTCATATTTAAATTTTAAAAAAGTAATAAACCAAGAAAAAAAGCGTTGTAGGATTTGAAAAGCATGCTTTGGATTTCGACGTTTTTGTTTATTTTTTTAAATAGAAAACGAAAAAACAAATACTCTTATCAGAAGAAACGTAAATTAGTCAATCAATCAATCAATCAATCAAAAAAAAACAAAAGAACCCTACAACGAGTTCCCGTTTGACAGTGTGTGTACGTACGTGCGTGTGCGTGTGCGTGTGCGTGTGTGCGTGTGCGTGTGCGTGTGCGCGTGCGTGTGTGTCTGTGTGCGCGCGTGTGTTTGTGTTTGTGCGTGCACGCAGCGGGAAGGGGGGGGGAGCTTGGGAGACCCATCCCCCACCAATCAAGCAAGGAAGCAAGCAAGCAAAAAAAATAAAAACACAAAAAAAAGTAAAAAAAAAAGCGATTTTTTAACCCACAATCAAACAGTCGATCAGACATACAAAATCAATCAATTAATCAAGATTGTTTTATTTTATTGTTTTTTATTGTTTTTCACCCACCGGGCGCTCTATGCGGATAAAGATGGTTGTCACCGCGTAGCCAGCGCGCTTCACAATTTCGTGACCGCCGGGTGCTACACTTCCGAGTCGTGGCTTGAGTAGAAACTCGTGTGTCCGGACGAGCAGTCATTGGCGTATTACAGGGTCCAAGCAAACCCATCCGTCCACATAATTGAAAGCATAGTGCATCTCCATTGCCTGTTCAATTTTGTAGGAAATGATGAAGCTCGGTATCACTATGGCTGCCATCTTTTTTAGTGCGATTGTTGCCTCGATGGTGCACTCTCATTTAGCGGTTTGTACGTCTACCGAGCTTCAGCCATGAAAAAAACAAAAAAAAGACGTTATTGAAAGGCAAACACCTAAATGATAAAAAAGTGGGTATCCGCAGTGAATTGGACAAATGAGGGCATACCTTCGTCGTTGTGGTCGTTTCCTTGACATACGATTCCCTGGTTCCTTTGTGCTCCTTCGTATCCTTGTAACCCTTGTGGTCGTCACTCGCAATGTATGCGTGCCTCGTCTCCTTGTGGTCCTCTTTCATCTCCTTGTATCCACCTTTGGCCTCTTTGTGATCCTCCTTCGACTCCTTGTATTCGACCTTCCTCGTCTCCATAGCCTTGTGCTCCTTCCCCAACGTAGCCCTGTGCTCCGTCTCCGTAGCCTTATGCTCATCCTTCGACTCCCTGTGCTCCTTATACTCCGTTTCCTTGTGCTCCTTCGCTTCCTTTCGCACCATCTCGTGTTCCTCCTTGTGTACATCCTTCTTTACCTCCTTGTGCTCGCCCCTCTTAACCTCCCTGTGCTCATCCCTCTTCACCTCCTTGTGCTCATCCCTCTTAACCTCCCTGTGGTCATCCTTTTTTACCTCCTTGCGCTCATTCCTCTTAACCTCCCTGTGCTCATCCTTTGCCTCCCTGTGTTCCTGCTTCTTGTACTCCTTGTATTCCTCCCTCGAATCCTTGCTCTGTTTATATTCATGCTTCGACAGTTGAGTCTCATCCTTGCTTCTGTGCTGGACGTCCTTGTGCACCGAGTACAACCCTTCGTCGACCACATTAATCCCCTTACCCTCGTAGTCCCTTGGCTTGTACACTACCCCTTCCCTTTCTTTCAGCTCAGTAACCTTCATTTCCTTCTTGCTCTTGTCCACCGTCGTTTTCCCCGTCACCGTGTGATCGATCTTCGAAGTAGAGGAGGACGACTTCTTCACCGAGTCACTTGACTGCTTGTCGCCTGTCAAAGCCGTCTTTTTCGTCACGTGACGGTAGGAACTGTCACGATCGCTCTCGCTCTCGTCGACAACCTGCTTCTTCGACATGCTGCTCTTCCCGATCTTGTATAGTGAGCCACCACGGTCACTCTCCTCGCTGATATCCACCCTGATGTCGGCGTCGCTGTCGACGCGGTTCGCCGTCTTCTTGTCCACCTTCACCGTGGTCGTTTTCACCTCGGTCTTCTTCACGTGCGCGCCATTGCTCTCATCCGAGACTGCACCGTAACTCTTCTTCTCCTTCCTGTGATCTTCCCCCTTGGTCACAGTTTGTTTATGCCGTGTTACATCCGTTCGTTTCGCTGCAATGCGATCGACCTTGTGAGAGTGGTCGCTGCTATCGTCAGATTCACACGAGAAAGAAACCTTCCTGTGCACCTTCGCCTCATGACGACGGGTTTTATGACGACGCCTGTCGTCGCCATCGCTGCTATCGAGATGGCTGCTGCGACGATGGTGACGATGTGTCTTCGTCTTTGTCTTCCTCACCTCTTCAATATCCGACGAGCGAGAGGAAGACGAACTCGACTCGGAAGAAGAGCTAGACGAGGACGAGTAGTCCCTCCGACGATCAACAACGCGATGCCGGGTGTGCTTGTGCTCATGGCGATGATCCTTGTCGATTACCTCTGCTTTCTTCTTGGTCTGCTCCTTCCTCCTTGATACATCTTGCATACGCAGTCGCCATTCCTTATCCCCAGAGTCATCAGAGGATGAGGAAGAGGAGGACGAGCTTGAGGCAGACGACGAATACAACAGCCTTTCCGTGCAAGTGCGGCTACTGCTGCGCTCCATTGCGGATACCTTGAACGCTTCGGCAATCAATCCCGATTGGGGTCTGCAAGGCACGAAGGACTCCATTTTCGAGACGAGGCTCCTCACGTACCTCTCGCACTTGAGTCGAGCGAGATCGAAGATCCGGACGGCGAGAAGCAAACGTGATCGGGGTCCCGTACCGACGCTGAGACCGTCCTCCACAACCTTCGCCAGCGTGTCCCACTGTTTACTATTCGAAAAGAGACGAAGCCTGGCGAAAGCCCACACCTTCTGCTCAATGAAATCCTTAGCAAGCACTGCACCCGAGTCCCACGCTCCTCCAGAAGACACGTACCTAGACAGATGCCTGTCGCGCGGAGGACACCTCTCATGATCCCACGACATTTGCCATCCTTTAACGGAAACCATCAACGGATACACGTACACGTGCGCGTCGAAAACGACGGCGGGTTCGAACTCCCAGTTGCCGAGTTGTTTGAATTTCTCGTTGAACCAGGCAGGGCCAACTTCCGCGTCCTTGCCGCCGAGGTATACGATGATGCTCTTGCCCGAAGAACACCACTCTCTATCGCCGTCAACGGCGAAGTCTTCTTTGTCAAGCTGAAGATCGACGGTGGAGCTGGACACAACCACCTCATACTCCAGCTGGAGAAGCTTGAGAAGCTGCCGAACTTGCCGCCGACGGAACATTTCCAATTTCTGGAGGAGGATTCTTCCAGCGCGACTGATATGACGGCTTTTGATAGAGACGGTGCCGGACAACGCCTCAGTCCAGCACAACGTACCCTTCAGAAGCAGCATCTCTCTCACCATCTCCCACCGTTGATTGAAAGCCCATTTCAAAATCATTTCCGGGACATGCCAGTGGTCACCGATGGCCTCGGCTTCTGCTTTGCGAAAAGAGAGGGCAGTCTCCAAGACAGCGCGTCCGCCCTCGGCCTTGGCTTCATGCAGCTTTGCAACGATCTTCTCGTAAGCCTTTCTCGATCCAGCACTGTCGATGACGGCACTCTCCTTCCTGACATCCGCGCACTTGACAACCTCCCAACCCCACAACCCTTGCGTCAAACCACCGCAACCGGCGCCCGTCAATGCGTCGATGGACCTTGATCGCAAATACTCGCCGATTTCCAAGCCCATTGGGCCGATAGCTTTGTAAATCTCGCAAAGAATGTCGTTCTGCTTCTCCCGGGGACACTTGTTCGGCCCCCGGAGGAGCAATTTGCCAAGCCGGAACATGCACTCGCCTCCAAGAATTTTCAGGCCGTTCAGCATGCTCCATTCTTCCTCCGAGATACGCTCGGCAGCGTCCCCGCCCTTCTTAAGCCCACCGATCAATTGGGTTGCCAACGGTATACTCCCTTTTCCCGCAACTTCTTCCAATGACTTCATCAACGACTTCAGCCGCTGCGGGAAGTGCCTCGTTGTGGCTTCCTCGACCAACGACAGACCTACCTCCATGGCTCGGACCCCTCCCAAAACCACCAATTTCCCCATTAAATGCATCTCCCAGATTGCTTGGTCTGTCCATCTGTACAGCGATCCGCTTCTTTCTTTGGCCGTCACGTGCTTGGCGCCGCCCGTAGCTGCGCTCCAACCGACAGTCGACCAGAAGTAATCGATCATCGTGTCGGCAACTTTCAGGCCCACTGGTCCTGCTTCCTGCACCATCTCCGCAACCACCTTCCTCTCCAATTCACCCAACCTCCTCCACGATCCCTTCACGCTTACCTCCATCTCACACCTCTTGCTGGCCAGCAGTTCCACAAGTCTTTGTCCCGCCTTCACGGCCTTCACCCCGCCTGACACGTATAGCTCATTCAGCAGCCCGCTCTCCGTCCACTTGTACACCGCCTTTCCCGCGAGCTGACTCTGATTGGCTGCTGCAGAAGCCCCCGAGCGTACCTGGTACACAGCCAAAGCATTGCTGGGCTGACATCTGTCGCCAGCTGCCAGACTGCCCGTGTGCTTCATCGCCCACAAAGCATAGCATAAGCCGATGATATCGTCCGACATTTTTCCGGGTCCCAGCCTCTCAACGGCGTTGTGCAACGGACCCTTCCGGCCCTCCACCATTTGCCGCAGCATTTCATTCCCACCTTCCTTCGATCCTGCGAGCAACACCGCACCACAATGCCTCATGTCGGTTAATCACAACAGTCGACGACAACCACGACTGCAACATGCAGCCAGAAAAATAGCTGGACATATCCTGACCCGCCTGGAAATTTTCTGGTGCGCTCGAGGTTACCTACTCCCAAACTACAGACACTATCTCCACATTGCCACAATCACGAACGGCAGGTCATAACTAACTCTGAATGCGTGGCGGGTATCAACGTCCATCGCACAACACGTCTAACTCACAATCGGAGACTGCGATGGAAGGACAACATGGCATAGCATCTATACGCTGCAACATGCGTATCTTCTAAAGAGACCCACTACTGCACAAACAACTTCGAAAGCACACATCACAAACCTCAAGGGACCAGAGTCGAGTATCGGGGTTGCGGCCACGAGATATGCAAGGCGATCGTTCGACTGCACGGCCTTGAAACAGCGACGATAAGGTCGATTTATCCTCGTGCAAATATCAAACCAAAAATCCACGGTAGCCATAATGAAGCCGCCAGAGAGGAGGCAGTTCTCCCGGATCATCCTACTTGATAAGGACCTGGTTCAGGATAGATAGCCCTCATGGCTCTTCCCGGAGAATCGATCCCAACCTTTGCGCTCATGTATGCCATCACCCGACCACAACCATGCAACCACTGCCAGAAGACGGCCAATAAAAATGTGCAGCATTTAAAATTGCCATCTTCACAAAGAGACAAGTGAATCGGAGAAATCCAATCCTAACATCGTATTCATCTGTCCGTCGACGGAGCCCGCCACCCGCTCTATATATCAGTCCACTGAGGAGGTCGACAAAAAAATATCACAATTTATTACGACTGGCGTCAATGGTTTTTCTGTGATCGCGCCTACCGGCGGCTTCCTGGAAGCGGGAATTCCTCGTATACAGTGGTATGAGGCCGAGTCCAACTTACCCGCACGGTCCATATCTGAGCCTAGATTGCAGAAACTGACGGCCAGAAATGAAGAGTTTGGACACGTAGAACTTGGCTCAGTCTACACAAAATCCGCCCAGCGCCGAGAATCGCGTGCGCGGTGACTACACCTAAAATTCCAGGACAGATACTGCCTTGGACATACAGTACAACTCAAAGAAACTTCAAGGAGTGGGATGAAGCATATCAATTTCCGTCGATTACAAAATTCAGGGAGTGGGATCAAGCATATGGACGTTCCCCGCGCGCTCAAACTAAAAGACAACACAAAGCATCTTTTTGGTCCAAGAAAATTGAATGCAATAGAAAACGAAGAGTTGGCATGCACACAAAATTACCGGGAACTCACCGAGAAGAATCTCCTCCACTCGTTGGCGCACCTCTCCGCCACACGCCCGTTCCAATCTCTGCAAAAGCTGAGCTGCCAGCTCGGACGCGCTTAGTCTGGGGCCGGGAAGAGCGGAACCGACGTTGCCGCACATGTCGGCGGGAGATTCCTGCTCCAGCGCGCAATCATACTCGCGCCAAAACTCGCTATCTTCGGCAATGCGAGACCCCGCCAGCAGACCCCGATACCCCGTCACCTTGAAGAGTCGGGCGTACAGCTGATTACACTCCCTCCTCCCGAGCCGATAGGCCGTCTGTGTCAAGACCTCTGCCATCTGCTCACCAACCCACAAGGACGATTCCATCGCCCCGCAGGGACAGACAGCCACGAACCAATCGGGCAAATTATTATGCCTGTGCGCACTAAACGACGGCACTCAGGACTTCAAGGAGTGCCAGAGAACTTTTCAAAAGAAAGCGAAGAGCAGGAATGAACGTCGCACAATCTATTTCGTGGAATCGGCAAACGAAACCCAGCTTTGCCACATCAAGAGAATCCGACAGCGTACATACGCAAGGCGCAACTGCCATACACTTCGCATGAACGATAAATGCATTAATTACTGTGACCGGTTCAATAACAGACTCGACAACGGACTTTATTGCCCTCAAAACTTCGTACCTCGAAAATGACGACCCAAGGCGCAGCTGCAGACCGCAATGTAAGAGGTTGAATGCAATGCAATAGTTCATTCATCATACCGATAGCGACGTTGCGGGGAGGAGTTAGTGGGAGAAACAGAGATCGCAGGGATTTTGGGGCTATTAGTCACAACAAAAGATATACTTTCGAAAGCATACTTACGGTAGGTTTCAGTGAGGTGGCTTGCAGAAATGCGGCCCGTATTTAGTACCGATTTACGGCATGATCACGCTAGGACTTTTTTTCTAATTTCAGGACGTGATTGCGGCTACATACATACAGGTCGGGCCATCACTGCCATCGGATACAGTTCAGTTAGACCTAGTGTAAGTACGGCCTTAGTCTAGAAAAAACATGATGTGATTATCGTCACAAACTCTCAAGGAGGGTCTCTAGCATTTCACAACTCCGAAAATCAAAAGGAAGCACAATTTTCTTTCGTCGGGGGGGAAAAAAAAACAGTCTGTTTTATCAAAACGACTGCAATCGTGTTAAGGGAAAAAATCCAAGGCCGGTGTACGAAAATCTCACCCGCTCAGGCGCGACGGAGAGTAACATGTGCACACTACAGGAACTGTGCAGTATAACGTCCGTTCAAACATGGTAAAGAACACACTGACAGACGAGGTTCGAGCAAATTCCAGTGTCCAACATCAGTTGGCAATGGAGATAACATTAAGAAACGATCATCTGACATCGGCGCCATGGCATGATTAAGACAATCACAGCTACAAATCCAGATAGATTAGAAGTCGCCAAGCAACGCACGTACAAATATAACTTTCCTAGATTTGCGACAAACGTAGTAAATGCACGTACCTGATGCAGCGTAGCTGTACGCAAAATATTGATATAGACGTGTGTGTATATCTCACCTCAAGGGCTTCCGATCCGCCAAAGCAATGAAGCTCCCTCAGTAGCTTCTTCCTCTCGTCATGATGGAGGATCCATCGTCCCTTCCAACCGACACCTCCTCTGCCTCCGGGCCATGGCATTGACAGGTCATCTACCTGGCACTCAGGCAGCGGTGCACGGCAATCTGCCGATGGCATCGTCAACAATAACTTCCTGTGGTCGCAGAAGGCCCCGCTTCCCCACGTCGGGGACGGGCACACCCCGGTAGCCCCGACATCGCGAACCATGTTCGCAGCAAGACGCATAGCGCGCAACCCTCCCAAATCGGCAACCTTGCCGTAAATCCTTGTCCGCTCCTTGGACCCGCATCCTTTGCTCAGCATACCACCACCACTGGGGACAAGAAGACGGAGCGCGACGTCTACACATTCAGGACCTCCGAGAAGAAACAGCTCCGACACTTTGGCCCTCGTCTTCAAGTCCAAGCATACCAATCTGTCATCAATTTTCTCTGGGGCACGGGCATAAGACCGCCAGGTGTCATAACCGACAGAGTCATCCATCTCGTTCTCCCACGCAGCACGCGTGACACAAGACGAGCAACCTTCACGACCCATTACACGAACTGGCAACTCAGGAGGAAAGCTCGGAGCTTTTGTCACCACAATCACCGACGCGAATTGTGTACACAGATCGCATTAAAAGCAGAACGCAACACCTCTTGGGTGACAGGTTTCTCCTACCGTCGACCAAAGCGAGAGAGCGCTCTACCTCGGGGCAGAGTCCCACTGGCGGGGACAGGGTCCCGCTAGCGCGAGTTTTTTCATTTCGCGCCGTATGTTGGGAAGATCGACGGCCACGGCTGAGAAACGAGCGCTAGTTGGACCCTGCCCCGGGTGTTTAAAAATGGTTTCGAAAATGCACCGATTCCACCCATCCCATACGAAACATCTAACGGCACATCTAACGGCCGTGCGGTGGCCACGTTAACAAAATACCCCGAAAGGCAGAGTCCGGTTTACATCGATCTCTTGTTCCTGACCGCCGATCATTGTAATCGACCATCTGGAACTCGAAGTCCCGGCGAGTGGACCTCGCCAGGGGGCCAAGCCACTACCGTCTTCACCCGAATAGAGCTGCATTGGCCCAACCTGCAGTCCAGATGCAGCGATAATGACCGGACGTTCTATTCGGGTGAAGACGGTAGCAGCGAGATCTTGTAATCTTCAAGCGTCTCTCAGGGTGGCCACAGTATAGCCCTGAGGTGTTTGAATCGAACGTCCCCAAATCACAACTGGTCCGGAACGTTCCATGAGGTGCTGGAACTTGCTGCAACTTGCTGCAGTCGTGATGGGACTTGGACCCCCGCACGCGCTTTTGTCGGGATATGCTGACCTCAGTTTCCCTCTTCTTTGCGTTCCCTACCCAAGAGCCAGCTCGGCGGGTACACCCATGAACTGTTGAAATACCGTGCAGAGTTCGAATCCAGATTATGGTTCTGTTATAAAAAAAACAGATATTTCTGAATTGCCTGAATTGCCAGGGCCGGTCAGCTCAATGATGATAGCTCTCAAGCCCGTCGCCCTTTTAAAAATAGGAAAAATAGAAAGGGTGCATTCCCTTGTTTGCACAAAAAAAGAAAAGAAAGGAAACAAAAGTAAGAAAAAACGTTCACCCAAAAACAAAAATCTGGAACGCGTGAAGAGATCTCTCGCAGGCCAAAAAAAACGTGGGGGATACAGCGGCTTGGCTGAGAGTGTACTCACACGAGAACGTTCCAGAATGCATCATACAGTAATTTCGGCCACACCTGTATGCATCTGGCCACAATTCGCCCCAGAAATAACTAAAACAGTCCTAGTGTGAGTATGTCCTCAGTTGGCATTCAGGAGCTCTTGGGTTCAGTCCCCATTGGCCTTTTCTACCGTCTATAGTAGCTCTCCACACATCTGTCTAAGGGCTGAAAATTTCGATGGCTGTCTGAATAAATTTTACAGCCACAGTTTGCCCTCCTTTAGGGTCTCCCCGGACGGTAAGAAAAACGAAACGAAAACGACCTTAAAACGCGAGGGCTCGTGAGGCCCTATTTCACCGTTTCGCCTCGTTTCTGTGCTCACTGCCTATGTAACACCCTCGGCGGCGGACAGGCGCGGCTAAGTCCGCAGCCGCGGCCGAGTCCGCGACCCCGCGGACGCGTCCGCGCGGACGCGTGGCGACCGCTGGGGAAGGGGGTTTAGGAATCCGGAAGCGCCACGTGGCGGCGCAACCCCAGCCCCACCCCATCAGGCAAAAAAAAACGAAAAAAATCAAATTTTTGGTTGGGGGGGTAAGGG